TAATAGAATAGTATTTAGATTGTATTAATTTAAATGAAATCTACCATAGAATTTAAATTGAACCAGCGAATGTGGATATATAAAAAGATTGCCAAGGTGTGTGTGTGTGTGTGAGTGTGTGTGTGTGTATTAAGTGTCTGTGTGTGTGTATATATGTATGTATATTTTGTTTTTTGTTTTTATCTTGAGTGAGAGTCTCGCTCTGCCACTCAGTCCGGAGTGCAGTAGTATGAAGTTGCCTCACTGCAACTTCTGCCTTTAGGGTTCAAGTTGTTCTCCTGCCTAAGCTTCCCGAGTCAATGGGGTTACAGGTACACACCACCACCTCCAGCTCATTTTTGTATTTTCAGTAGAGAAAGCGTTATACCATGTTGGCCAGGCTGGTCTTGAACTCCTGACCTCAAGTGGTCCACCTGCCTCGGGGCCTCTTAACGTGCTGAAGATTACAGGCATGAGCCAGAATGCCCAGCTGCAAAGGTGTGTTTTTGAGTAAAATGAACAACTTACAAACAAAAAAATAGGGAACAGCTGGGAGTGGTGGCTCATTCCTATAATCCTAGCACTTTGGGAGGCTGAGGTGAGAAGATCACTGGAGCCCAGGAGGTTGAGGCTGCAGTGAGCCATGATTGCACCACTGCCCTCCAGCCTGAGTAATGTGGCAAGACCCTGCCTCAAGAAAAACTAAAATTAAAAAACCAAAACCTAAACATGACGATTAAGTTTTCAGGTTGTTTTATGATATGTGCCTTCCTCAAAACTTGTTACGATATCATCACCTCACCCATCTGATGCAAAAAAGAAAAAATAAAACCCAGAGACTCAAACTAAAAATATTTGCAAATCTATAGCGTTAGGTGTTGTCCTGTGTCTCCCTGAAAGACACTGAAGCCCTACGCCGCAGGATCTGTGGATGTGACCTCATTTGGAAACAGTCTCTTCACATGTGATTGAGCTAACCTGAGGTAACGAAGGTGAATCCTAATCCCGTGTGCCTGTGTTCTTATAAAAAGGGGATGTGTGGACAAATAAACCTACAAAGGGAAGACAATGTCAAGACAGAGACATAAGACCACCTACAAGCCGAGGAACTCTGGATGCTCTGAGAATCCATGTGGGACAGACCCTCCCTCACAGCCTTCACAGAAAAAAACAATCAATCAATAATCCCTTGATTTTAGACACCTGGCCTCCAGAACTGTGAGAATAAATCTCTGTGGTTGAAGCCACACAGTTTAGGGTACTTTGTTAAGGCAGCACTGGGAAATGAATGCAGAGTTCTTGGGGCACACATCAACACTTCTGAATAAAATTTGGGACATGGCATGCTTGAACTTACAATTTATACTTTTCTCTACTCTGAATTCTTTTTTATTTTTGAGAGACAGGGTCTCACTCTGTCACCCAGGCTGGAGTGCACTTGCACAAGCATGGCTCACTGCAGCCTCCACCTTCTGGGCTCCAGCAATTTTCTTGCCTCAGCCTCCTGAATAGCTGAGACTACAGGCACATGTCACTGTGCCTAATTTTTTAAAAATGTTTTGTAGAGATGAGGTCCTGCTATGTTGCCCAGTTTACCTGGGACTCCTAGCCTCAAGTGATCTTCCCACACCTTGGTCTCTCAAAGTTTTATAAGCCATTGTAACTGGCTTGCCTTTTTTTTTTTTTTTTTTTTTTAAAAGACAGAACCTTGCTCTATTGCCCAGGCTGGAGTGCAGGGACAAGGTCTCAGCTCACTGCAACCTCCATCTCCTGAGTTCAAGCAATGCTTTTGCCTCAGCCTCACGAGTAACTCAGCTTATAGGCTTCTACCACCACACTCAGCTAATTTTTGTATTTTTATTACATGTGGGTTTCACCAGTGGGCCAGGCTGGTCCCGAACTGCTGACTTCAGGTGATCCGCCCACTTCAGCCTCTCAAAATGCTACCATTGTGGTTCAGTGCAACCTCTGCTCCTGGGTTCAAGCAATTCTCCTGCCTCAGCCTCCCAAGTAGCTGGGATTACAGGTTCCTGCCACCATTGCCAGTTTTTGTACCTTTAGCAGAGATGGTGTTTCACCCTGTTGGCCAGGCTGGTCTTGAACTCTCGACCTCAGGTGATTCACCTGCTGCCTCAGACTTCCAAAGTGCTAGGATAGCTGGCATGAGCCACTGTGCCTGGCCTACTCCTATTATTATTACATTGTAATATATAATAAAATACTTACACAACTCACCATAACGTAGAATTAGTGGGAGCCCTGAGCTTGTTTTCCTGAAACTAGATGGTCCCTTCTGGGGGTGATGGGAGACAGTGACAGATCAACAGGCATTGGATTCTCATAAGAAGCTCACTGTCCAGCTCTCTCGAATGTACTATTTACAGTAGGGTTTGCGCTCCTATGAGACTCTAACAATGCCACCGATCTGACAGGAAGTGGAGCTCAGGTGGTGATGCCAGCAATAAGGAGTGGCTGTGAACACAGATGAAACCTCCCTCGCCCACCCGCTGCTCACCTGCTGTGCTGTCTGCCCAGCTTCTAACAAGGAAGCCAGGCGCGGTGGCTCACACCTGTAATCCCAGCACTTTGGGAGACTGAGGCAGGTGGATTACCTGAGGTCGAGAGTTCGAGACCAGACCAACCTGACCAATGTAGAGACACCCTGTCTCTACTAGAAATACAAAAATTTGTATTTCTAGTAGAGAGAAAGGAGCCAGGCATGGTGGCTCATACCTGTAATCCCAGCTACTTGAGAGTCTGAGGCAGGAAAGTCACTTGAATCTGGGAGACAGAGGTTGCAGAGAGCCAAGATTCCACCATCGCATTCCAGCCTGGGCAACAAAAGCAAAACTTCGTGTCAAAACAACAACAACAACAAAAAGAAGCCAGGGTGCAATGGCTCACACTTGTAATCCCAGCACTTTGGGAGAATGAGGAGGGCGAATCACCTGAAGTAAGGAGTTTGGGACCAGCCTGGCCAACGTGGTGAAACCTGTCTCTACTAAAAATACAAAAATTAGCCAGGTGTGGTGGTACATGCCTGTAATCCCAGCTACTCAGGAGGCTGAGGCAAGAGAATTGCTTGAACCACGGAGGTGGAGGTGACATTTACCTGAGATCACACTGCTGCACAGAGTGAGACTCTGTCTCAAAAAAAAAGGAAAAAAAAAAAAAAGGCTACAGACTGGTACTGATCCATGGCCAGGAGGGTTGGGGACCCCAGCTGTAGACAATATGAAATGATCAAATCAGGGTAACAGACAGTCATCACCTCAAATATTTATCAAATCCTTCTCTTCTGGCTATCTTGAAATAGTCAAATAAATTCTCATTCACTGTAGTTTCCCTTGTGCGCTATGGATTACTGTAACTTATTTCTTCTATCTAGGCCTTCTGGTCTTTCATTCTGTTTTTTAAGATTATTTTCATTTATTTCTGAGACAGTCTCTCTCTTTCTGCCAGGCTACAGTGCAATGACATAATCTTGACTCACTGCAACCTCCACCTCCTGGATGCAGGCAATTTTCCTGCCTCAACCTCCTGAGTAGCTGGGAGTACAGGCGTGCATCACCATTCCTAGCTACCTTTTTTTTTTTTTCGTAGTGATGGGGTTTCACCATGTTGTCCAGGCAGGTCTCTCTCAAACTCCTGACCTCAGGCAATCCACCCACCTCAGCCTCCCAAAGTGCTAGGATTACAGGCATGAGTCACAGTACCCGGCCACTTATTCATTCTTACATTCATTCATTCTATGAATAACTACTGCCTGGTTATTATATACCTGGCAGAGTTCCGGGCTCTGGGGAAACAGCAATGAGCAAAACAAAGTTGCTGCTGTCTTAATGGATCCATCGTTCTAATGAGGAGGAAAGAGACAGGCAATCCATGAAGAAACCATAAACACAAACAGCACATCAGGTGAGAGCGCTGTGAAGAATAAATACTAAAGTGGGTACGGCCAGGTGCAGTGGCTCACACCTGTAATCTCAGCACTTTGGGAGGCTGAGGTGGATGGATCCCTTGAAGTTAGGAATTCAAGACCAGCCTGGCCAACATGGTGAAATGCCATCTCTACTAATAGTACAAAAAAAAAAAAAAGACCCAGGTGTGGTGGCACCTGCCTGTAATCTTAGCAACTCAGGAGGAGGGTGAGGTGGGAGGATTGCTTGAACTTGGGAAATGGAGGTTGCAGTGAGCCGACATTTCATCACTGCACTCCAGCCTGGGGAACAGAGCAAGACTCTGTCGTCAAAAATAAAAAAGTGAAGAGAAATCAGGTGCAGGTTAGAGTGCATTCGCATGAGCAAGGGTGCTCTTGTGGTGGAGAAGGTGATAGACATGAGGGCTGAGCCTGGGGACTCCTGGGGAGAGCAGCATGGGAGGGCCCTAGGTATTGGTTCCATTTGTGGTCCTTTTGTTTAGATTTGATTTGTTTTTGACACAAAGTCTTGCTCCATCGCCCAGGCTGAAGTGAAGTGGCACAATCTCGGCTCACTGCAATCTCCACTAACCGGGTTCAAGCCACCTCAGTCTCCCAAAGAGATGGGATGGCAGGTGTGAGTCACGTGCCCGGCCTATGCATCAACATGTTTAAATTCTTCTGAAAACTGTGCTTTAGAAAGAGTGTTCTGAAAGACATAGGAAATAAAATGACAGAATGGCAGGGCAAGGATCACATCAGTGACAGGGTGGCTGTGGAGATTTGCTGGCCAGCAGCAGGAAAGCCACTCAGACCCTGGATTCTACCTCTGCAGCCTGTCTGCACCTGAACCCTCCTCCCCACATCAGTGGAAGCCTGGAACTCTCAGAAAAGCAGACCTCACCGGCCGCTGCCACTTTCACCAGAATGATGTGATTCATTCATTCACACAGAAGACAGCAGGAACCCTGAGAAAACAGGATCCAGAATGTGTGGGTTTTGATGGACAGTGTGGTAGGATCTGGGAGGCTCCACCTGCCTCACCTCCTGAGCCCCACACTCCTTCCCCAGTCCTGCTCGGCATAGAGATTAGTGACATTACCAGAAAGGTAGATGCTTGGAAGGACACCAGCAACACGGAGAAGAGGAGGCCAGAAGTCCACAAGGCACCCAGCTCCTGGCCTCGGATGACCAGGACTGTCCAGAAAGGCTCCCTCACAGCCATGAGATGATCCTCGAGTTCCTGAGGATGGAGCTGGAGGGCTGGTCCCACAAGTCCTTCTGCCTCATTTGCTCTCCTGGGGTTGGAGGGAAAAGAGCGATGAACACACGGCTGGTCCAGAATTTTCCCCTGCACCCTGACAGTAACCCTGCAGTGAATCCCACTGATCCCACCAACTGCATACCAAAGCTGTCTTCCTCTCTGCATCTCTGACCCTCAGTCCTGATCCATCTACCATCATCCCGTGCCTGAACTCCTGCAGGAACTGACCTGGGACCACTGCCCTCGGGAGGCAGCTTCTGATGCCCAGAGAACAGAGGCTGCCCCTGAGCCCACCTGGGTATGGTGCCATCAGGAAGGCTACCTGGAGGTGGTGTAATGCCTGAGCTACATCTTTCTTTCTTTCTTTCAAATTGTTGGTAAAGTCAGGGGGTCTCACTATGTTTCCCATGTTGGCCTTAAGCTCTTGGGCTGAAGTGATCCTCTGGCCCTGGCCTCCTAAATGTGCTGGGATTACAGACTGAGCTACACCTTAAATGACCAGGAGGTAGGTGCTGGGCAGGCAGAGGATGAGGAGATGGGGCCAGGAAGAGGGAGGGAAGGGTTTGAGAAAGGGGGCAGAGAAAACCCAGGCACAGGGAGCAGCATGACTCAGGACACTCCGTGTGGCCAGAGGAGTGCGTGGGCAGGGTCACTCGGCACTTTAGGGTCAGGCAGGAGTCCGGCATCTCCCGTGCTTCACCAGGTAAGGGGGGCATTATCAGAAGGCAGCTGCCAGGAGAAGGTTTTTTTGTTTTTTTGAGGGAGTCTTGCTCTGTTACCAGGCTGGAGTGCAGTGGTGCGATCTCAACTCACTGTAACCTCTGCCTCCCGTGTTCAAATGATTCTCCTGCCTGAGATTCTAGAGTGCCTAGGATTATAGTTGCCTGCCACCATGCTCAGCTAATCTTTGTGTTTTTAATAGAGAGATCATTTTGCCATTTTGGCCAGGCTGGTTTTGAACAACATCTTACCTCAGGAGATTCGCCTGCCTCGATCTCCCAAAGTGCTGGGATTATAGGTGTGAGCCACCATGCCCGGAGGCAGCCATGCCGCAGGCTGGAGAAACAGTCCAAGTGACAGATGGACATTGGGACAGCTGGGCCTAGAGAGGAAATAAGTTCCTTTCCTCCATCCCCCTTCCCTCCCTCTCCCCCACCTTTCTTTCTTTTCTTCCCTACTTCTTTCTTCTGCTTTCCTGCCTTTCTTTCTGCCCTCTTTTTTCCCCCTCTCCTTCATTCTTCCTTCCTTCCTCATTCCTTCTCTTCCTCTTTCAACTCTTTCCTTCCCTCCATCTGTCCTCCCCTTTCCTATCTTTCCTTCCCTCCATTTCACCCCTCCCCTCCTTCCTTTCTTCCCATCCCTCCCTTCTTCCCTCCTCCCTCCCTTCTTCAGTAGTTCTCGAACACTGGTCCAGCAACTTCTGCATGCCGAGCACTAACTAGATACTGAGTCTGCCACAGGGAGTGGCCCGTGCTGCTGTGGAGCTTGCAGTCTAAGGAGAGCAATGCCATCAGCCCCTGCCAGGAGCTTTCTGCAGGGCCCTTTAGGAAGTGGGAAGTGTTGGGGAAAAGCAAAAACAAACCCAGAATAGGCCAAGGAAGGGAGCTGCTTGGAGGAGAGAGATGGGTGGGCCATGTCCTTGCTGGACGATGGTGAGGGAGGTGGCCCTGACTGCAGGGGGTGCTGGAGGGGTCAAGGTCTTCTGGAGTGAGGGTGGTCCAGGTGGAGGGAACAGCTAAAGCAGATGCCTGGATAGATGTGTGAACATCAGGCAGGTGTGAGGATGGGGAAGGGGGTAGGTGGGAAAGGGAGGGAGATGGATGGAAGGTGAGGCTGGAGGCAATGAGGCAGTTCAGGGCAGGCCAGGTGGGCCACAGTGGGGCCTTTGGCTCAGACTGAGGAAAACAGGGGCATTGTGGGTCTGAGCAGAGGAGGGTACAATGGATTCAGCTCACACAGGTCTCCTGTGGCTGGAAGTAGAGAAAGGCTGGGGCAGAAGTAAGGAGTGAGCCAGGGCCTTGCTGCTGGATGCATTTTCAAGATGACTCCAAGCAAATCTGATGACTGATGGGGTGCAGGAGAAAAAGGCATTAATCTGACCCAGGGCCTGGGATCTGAACACTGGAGGGTTGAGCCACCATCCAATGCGATGGGGAAGGAGCGGGGCAGGTCTGCACAATGGGAAACTCACAGAGACAAGAACAAAGCCAGACCCGCTGGCTCCCACTCAGCTCTGCCCTCTTCATCGCCCACACCAGAGCCTGTGTCTTTCTCCTCACTTCCTGCGTGGTCCGTCTTTTTCCCAAAAGCCAAACCTGACAGTGAATCCTCTTCTTGGTGATGAAGAAACTCAGAGGCAGGCGGCTCAGGAAGAGAGCGATGGTGGAGAGATCCAGGAGCTGGGGACAGAGGGGACAGAACATCAGGAGATCCCGAGGAGCCCAGCTGTTAGAGGCCTGTGAACACAGCAGCTCCATCTTGAATAGGAGCTGGGTAAAAGGAGGCTGAGACCTACTGGGCTGCATTTCCAGGCGGTGAAGGCATTCTGAGTCACAGGATGAGACAGCAGGGCAGCACAGAATACAGGTCACAAAGACCTTGCCAGTAAAACAGGCTGCAGTAAAGAAGCCAGCCCAAAACCCACCAAAACCAAGATGGCTACCAGAGTGACCTCTGCTCATCCTCACTGCTACATTGTCACCAGCACCATGATGGTTTACAAATGCCATGGCAACATCAGAAAATTTTCCTATATGATCTGAAAAGGGGGAGTCATGAATAATCTACCCCTCGTTCAGCATGTCATGAAGAAATGGCCCTAAAGATGGGCACCAGTGTCTTCTGGGCTGCTCTATGGAGTAGCCATTCTATCTTTTCTTTCCTAAAAAACTTTTTTTTTAGGAAATAATAAACTTGCTCTGTGGCTCACACCTGTAATCCCAGCACTTTGGGAGGCTGAGGCAGGTGGATCACCTGAGGTCAAGAGTTTGAGATCAGCCTGGCCAACATGGTGAAACCCCGTCTCTACTAGAAGTATAAAAATTAGCCAGGTGTGATGACATGCACTTGTAATTTCAGCTACTCAGGAGGCTGAAGCAGGAAAATCACTTGAACCCGGGAGGCATAGGTAGTACTGAGCCAAGATCACACCACTACCCTCTATCTAGCCTAGGCAACAGAGTGAGACTTCATCTCAAAAACAAAACAAAATAGCAAAACAAGCAAACAAACAAATTTTCATTTTACCCTCATGAGGGTTGTCAGACTTAGCAAATCATCATACAGATACCCAGTTACCTTTGAAGACAGAGTGAGGTTTTAGTTTAAGTCTCGTGCATTATTTGAGACATACACTGAGAGTTCGAAACTCTCACTTCACTGGATGTCCTGTTTTCTCTGGCAACCCTGCTCCCTACCAACGTGGTGCTTTTAAGATACTTATCTCCCCCCTCTCAGCTTTGGTTGGTTCCTATATTTGGAAAATGTAGAAGTGGGAGGTAGAATAAATAATTTTTTTAAGTTGCTCTGACTTTCTGAGAGTCGTTCACAGGTTACTTGAACCCATTCTCTCACCAAGTCCCACCCCAACTCCAGTCTGCATGCCTCAGTTTCCCCTCTCAGTCCTTAGGAACACTATTTTTTTTTTTTTTTGAGATGGAGTCTCGCTCTGTTACCCAGGCTGGAGTGCAGAGTCGCGATCTTGGCTCACTGCAACCTCTGCTTCCCAACCAATTCTGCTGTCTCAGCCTCCCGAGTAGCTAGGATGACAGATGTGCATCACTATGCCTGGCTAATTTTTGTATTTTTAGTACAGACAGGGTTTCACCATGTTGCCAGGCTGGTCTCGAACTCCTGGCCTCAAGTGAACTCACTTCAGCCTCCCTAAGTGCTAGGATTACAGGTTTGACTCACTCTACCCAGCTCAAAGCAAGTACAACAATATTTTCTAAGGTTGGATCCGTTTGTTCATTTATGCAGCAATGGCGTCACCTGGTGGCTTCATGGAGAAGTGCCCTAAGGGTAAACCACCTACAGCAGGGTTTAAAAAAACACTCAAAGGAATCTGACAGAAGATGAGCTTCTTGGCCGGGCGCGGTGGCTTGTGCCTGTAATCCCAGCACTTTGGGAGGCTGAGGCGGGTGGATCACGAGGTCAAGATCAAGAGTTCGAGATCATCCTGGTCAACATGGAGAAACTCCGTCTTTACTAAAGATACAAAAATTAGCTGGGAATGGTGGCGTACACCTGTAGTCCCAGCTACTCGGTAGGCTGAGGCAGGAGAATTGCTTGAACCCAGGAGGTGGAGGTTGCGGTGAGCCAAGATCATGCCATTGCACTCCAGCCTGGGCAACAAGAGCGAATCTCCATCTCAAAAAAAAAATAAATAAATAAATAAAGAAGATGAGCATCTCTCTCTGGAGGAAAAATGTTCATTAAACTAGCAACCTCAGTATTCACCCCTCCTTCTTCACCAGGATCTCATGGTGATGTTAGAAGCTGTCTACCAAGAGGCAGGAAAAGTGCACAGGGAAAGTGACACAGTGCATTATCTGCAGATATCTTGGTCTTCTCTGAATTTTTTTTGAGGGTGAGTTGCTCTGTCCCTCAGGCTGGGTTACAGTGGTGTAATCTCGTCTAGCATCAACTTATGCCTCTTGCGTTCAAGTGATTCTCCTGCCTCAGCCTCCTTAGTAGCTGGGATTACAGGCACATTCAACCATGCCCGGTTCATTTTTGTATTTTTAGCAGAGACAAGGTTTCATCATGTTAGCCAAGCTTATCTTGAACTCTCGACCTTAATTGATCTGTCCACCTCAGCCTCCCAAAGTGCTGGGATTACAGGCATGCACCCTCATATCTGGCAGAAGGATCAGGTTTTCCTCATTTTATTTTTATTTTTTAGACAGTGTCTTACTCTGTCACCCAGGCTGGAGTACAATGGTGTGGTCTTGGCTCACTACAACCTCCACTTCCCGGTATTCTCTGGCCTCAGCCTCTCGAGTTGCTGGGACTACAGGCATATGCCACCACACCTGGCTAATTTTTGTATTTTTGGTAGAGATGGGGTTTTACTATGTGGGTCATGATGGCCTCAAACTCCTGACCTTTGGTGATCCTCCCACCTCGACCTCCTAAAGTGCTGGGATTACAGGCGTGAGCCACCATGCCTGGCCATGGGTTTTCATAAACCAAAGCATATTTCTTATCGTGTTTAACGGAATTGTGCCCCAGCCCTGAACTTTCCTTGATTCATCCTCCTTTAAATAGCGAACTTCTCAAAAGGTGTAATGAACATGGAAGAGCCACTGGCTGGGTGGGCTGGGTGGTAGCAGGGGGGCTGGGGTCTCAGCAGTTGGCATCCCCTTTCCCAGGATGTACTCATGGCCTCATGTAGCTATTTTTTTTTATCTCCTAGGTCAGCTTGTCGACACCGTCCCGGTGAAAAAAGGAGACCAGATCTTGTTTTCATCATCTATGTTCGAAGCCAATATCACCACCCACAACATTGCTGTCATTGTGTGCAAAAGCCTAGAAATACTTAGACCTGGTTTATTAACCATACACCTGCCAGACCCAACCCAGCCAAAACATGAAATCCGCCAGGTGCAGTGACCCAAATCTGTAATCCCAGCACTTTGGGAGGCCAAGGTGGGTGGATCTCCTGAGGTCAGGAGTTTGAGACCAGACTGGCTAACATAGTGAAACCCCACCTCTACTAAAAATATAAAAATGAGCTGGGTTTGCTGGTGCACGCCTGTAATCCCAGCTACTCGAGAGGCTGAGGTTGGGGAATCACTTCAATAGAGGAGGTGGAGGTTGCAGTGAGCCGAGATTGAACCACTGTACTCCAGCCTGGGCAGTGCGCGAGACTCCATCTCAAAAAACCACAGTAACAACAACAAAAACACAAAATCAAACCCCCATCCTTTTTTTTTAGAGATAGAGAGGGATTTCCTGTGTTGTCCAGGTTACAGTGGTACAAACATAGCTCACTGCAGCCTCTTACTCCCAGGCTCAAGCAGTCCTCCTACCTCAGCCTCCTGAGTAGCTGGGATTACAGGTGCATGCCACCATGCCCAGCTAATATTTATGTGTGTGTGTGTGTGTGTGTGTGTGGAGAGGGGGTCTCACTATGTTGGCCAGGCTGGCCTCAAACTCTGGGCTTCAAGTGATCCTCCCATCTCCACCTTCCAAAGTGCTGGGATTACAGGCATGAGCCTCTGTTCCTGGCCAAAATCCAACTACACATTCATGAACGACCAAAGGCATGAGCTTCTGTGTTTTAACAATGAAATGGATTATTCCTTGGGTATAACTTTGCTGGGGATGCTGTACAAAGTGCCACAAACAAAGTAGCTTAGAACAAGACAAATTTGTTGTTTCAGGCCAGATGCCATGGCTCATGTATGTAATCCCGATAGGATGACACCCTGTCTCTACTGAAAAAAATACAAGGCCGGGAGTGGTGGCTCATCACACCTATAACACTAGCACTTTTGGAGGCTGAGGTAGGCAAATCATGAGGTCAGGACTTCAAGACCAGCATGACCAACATGGTGAAACCCTGTCTCTACCAAAAGTACAAACATCAGCTGGGTGTGGTGGCACACATCTGTAATCCTAGCTACTCAGGAGGCTGAGGCAGGAGAACTGTTGAACCCAGAAGGTGAAGGTTGCAGTAAGCTGAAATCACACCACTTTATTCCAGACTGGGGGACAGATCAAGAATCTATCTCAGAAAAAAAAATTAGCCAGGCATGGTTGCATGTGTCTGTGTTCCCAAGCTACTCAGGAGACTGAGGTGGAAGGATTTCTTGAGCCAGGGAGAATGAGGCTGCAGTGAGCTGAGATCATGCCACTGCACTCTAGCCTGGGTGGCAGAGCGAGACCCTGTCTCAATAAATTAATAAATAGAATAAAATGTTGTCTCCCAGTTGGGAGGCCGGAAGTGTAAAGTCAGGTGTCTGCAGCAGGCTCTCCCTGGAAGCTCTAAGGAAAAATCTGTCCCAGCCTCTCTCCTGGCTCAGGCATCCCTTGACTTACAGTGGCCATTGTCCTTCTATGCATGTCTGTCTCTGTGTGCAAACTTACCTTTGGGCAGTCACGGTGGCTCACACCTATAATCCCAGCACTTTGGGAGGCCAAGGCAGGATTGCTTGAGCCCAGAAGTTCAAGTCCAACCTGGGAAACATAGTGAGATACCATCTCTACATAAAATACAGAAAATTAGCTGGGCATGGTGGAACACAACTGTAGTCTCAGCTACTCAGGAAGCGGAGGTGGGAGGATCAGTTGAACCCAGGAGTTTGAGGCTGCATTGAGCTATGATCACACCACTACACTCCAGCCTGGGTGACAGAACAAGACTGTCTCAAGAAAAAATATTTTATTCTTTCTTTTTCTTTTACTGGCAACAAATTTCCCTTTTAGTAAGGACACCAGTTATGTGGAATCAGGGCCCCACCTTCATGACTTGACCCATTTTAACTTGATGACCTCTGTAACAACCCGGTCTCCAGATAAGGTCATGCCTGTAATCCCAGCATTTTGGAAGGCTGAGGTGGGAGGATCACTTGAGGCCAGGAGTTCAAGACCAGTCTGAGCAACATAGTGAGATTTCACCTCTACAAAAACCATAGTAAAAACAGCTGAATGTAGGGGTGTGTACTTGTAGTCCCAGCTCCTTGGGAGGCAGGAGCACAGAGCGAGCCCAGGAGGTCGAGGCTGCAGTCATCTGTGATTGTGCCACTGCACACCAGCTGGGCAACAGCAAGACCCAGTCTGTCTCAAGAGAAGAAAAAAGGTTTGCTGATCAAATGTGGGGCAATTTTTTAAAACTTTAACTCTGCATTTTGTCATATTGCTTAGCTTTTCCACATGAACTCTGTGATTATAACAAGAAAATAACAGTCACATTACTTTTTTTTGAGAAGGAGTTCTGATCTTGTTTCCCAGGCTGGAGTGCAGTGGCATGCTCACTGCAACCTCTGCCTCCTGGGTTGAGCAATTCTCCTGCCTCCACCTCCTGAGTAGGCAAAAATTCTCAATAAACTAGGTATTGATGGAACATATCTCAAATAATAAAATATATTTACGACAAACCCACAGCCAGTATCACAATGAATGGGCAAAAGCTGGAAGGATTCCCTTCAAAATCTGGTGCTAGACAAGGATGGCCTCTCTCCCCACTCCTACTCAACATAGTATAGGTCCCCAACAACTGAGGGATCTGTGGGGATCGCTCCGTATAGGAAGTTCTAGCCAGAGCAATCAGGCAAGAGAAAGAAAAAAAGGGTATTCAATTAGGAAACGGGGAAGTCAAATTGTCTCTATTTGCAGATGACATGATTGTATATTTAGAAGACCTCATCATCTCAGCCCAAAATCTCCTGAGATCAGGAGTTTGAGGACAGCCAGACCAACAAGCTGAAACACCAGCTATATTAAAAGTACAAAAATTAGCTGGGCATGGTGCCGGTGCCATGTGCCTGTAATCTCAGCTACTTGAAAGGATGAGGTAGAAGAATGGCTTGAACCCAGGAGGTGAAGGTTGCAGTGAGCTGAGATTACACCACTGCACTGAAGCCTGGGTGGAGTTAAAAAAAAAAAAAAAAAAAAAAAGAAAATTGGGTTTTGTAGAGACAGGACTCTTCCTGTGTTGTCCAGGCTGGCCTCAAACCTCTGAACTGAAATGATCTTACCACATCAAAATTACAGGTGTGAGCACTCACCCAGCCAACAAACTTGGAGATTGAAAGAGGCTTAAAAGACATAACAATGCTGGGGAACAGTTATGGGCTAAAGATGCATACTAGGACGGCTCTACTCTAAAGAAACAGATGGAGGCCAGGTGTGGTGTCTCACATCTGTAATACCAAACACTTTGGGAGGCCGAAAAGAGAAAAACACTTGTGCCCAGGAGTTTGGGACCAGCCTGGAAACATAGCCAGGGTGGGCTTGGGGGCTGCTACAGGCCCTCCTCCAGCAAGGGCTGTGGACAGAGTCCCCTAGCCGGAGGGGGGGTCCCTAAGCAGCCAGGGTCTGCCTGGGGGCTGCGGCCTAAGCTTCCAAGCCAGGGTGTCCCTAAGCAGCCAGGGCGGGCCTGGGGGCTGCTATGGGTACTCTGACAGGGGCTGTGGGCACAGCCCAATAGCCAAGGGATCCCTAAGCAGCCAGGGTGAGCCTGGGGGCTGCTATGGGCCCTCTGACTGGGGCTGTGGGCTAGCGCTGTGGGCTAGCACTCTGTGCATAGGTACACAGTTTTTCCCTATTTCTACATGTCTGCATAATTTACATAGTGGGCACATATTTGTATAGGTGTACATATGGTGTTATCACAATAACTATATATGTACATAATATGTACACAACACATGTATTTTATTTGTACATTATGTACTTTTATTGTGATATTATGTATTATATGTATATTATTGTGATTATATATCACTGATATTTCAAGAAATGCATATAGTGTACACATGTACCTACGCATTGTGTACACATGTATAGGTACATATTTTACAGATTATGTACATTTTTTCTACATGTGTATTGTATACACATATGTACATCAGAGTAAATGTACATACTGTACCTATTACATACATTTATTGCAATATGCCAATAAATATACACATTATGAGTACATTCTAGGATATTATTTTTACTATATTAAATAGAAATTACTCCTGCTATCAAAGTGGGTATACACCCATGTGTGTACATATTTTACATGTGTACATATTGTGCATATTATGTACTCATGTACAGATATATATTTACATATGTAACTATATGTACACATGTACAGTGTACATATCTACATACTGTGCAGTTATGTGCACATGTATATATTGTACATCTGTACACAATGTGTACATGATGCACATGTGTACATATTGTAATATCACAATCAATGTATATGTACATGTGTACATTTATATTGATATGTATTACATATGTATTGTGATTATACCTCTGCTGTTGTGATTATATAATATTGTGATATTACAATAAATGTACATATTGTACACATTATGTACATACCTATTGTGTACACATTATGTGCATATAAATGTACATATTGTACAGATTATGTACATTTATTGTACATATGTATTGCATACACATATGTACATCACAGTCAATGTACATATGGTACATATTATATACATTTATTGTGATATCCCAATAAGTGTACACATCATGAATATATTCTGGGATATGATTTTTAGTATTTAGATAAAAATTACTTCCAATATCAAAATGGGTATACATTCATGTGTGTCCATTTTGTGATATTATCCATCATATTTTAAGTAGGTGTTACTCTCATTGTGAAAGCAAGTGTACACTCTGATTGTTCCAATATGACAGGCAAAGTACAACACTTCTGTGACGTAGTTCCTAATAACCTGGGGACAGAGGATGATTATACCCTGAATGTCACAGAAAGTGTACACCACCACCTTAGTATTGTTCTAATATCCAAAAACGGAGAGAATATTACTCCAAATACCTCAGAGAGCGCAATCCCCCCGTGATATTGTTCCTAATAACTAGGGGATTATAGATGACATTACTCACGATGTGACTGGGGCTGTACGCCGGTCCTGTGACATTGTTCCTAATATCCAGAGAAGGAAAGGAGAATGTAACTGCCCATAGGGAAATACTCTGAATATAGCAAGAGGTGTACACCATGCTCTGATATGGTCACTAATGTCCACAAGAAAACAATTATGTTGAATTAAACATTGCAAGGAGTGAAACCTCCCTGTGCTTTCAATTCGAATGTCAAGGGGGGTGAGGATGACATTTTTGTCAATATGGCAGAGGTGTAACTAGAGCTATTGCCTAATATAAAAAAAAACAGAATAACATTATCATCTCGCTATGATATTGTTCCCAGTATCATGTTACACCACCTTTTCAAAATAGTCCCTAGCAGCCAGGGTGGTCCTGGGGGCTGCTATGGGGCCCTCTGGCGGGGGCTGTGGGCACAGCCCAGTGCACACACCTCACAAGAACACACACCGCTCACCACAAATTTCACACCCCAAAGTACACACACGTCAGACACACACCACGCACCACACACATTCCCCACACATTGCACAGTGCACACACCTCAGACACACACCACTCCTCACACACACTCCACAGTGAGCACACCTCGCACAGACTCACAATGTTTACCACACACTCTTCAAGCACACACTCCACAGTGCACACACCTCGCAGAGACACGCCACAATCCTCACACCTACTCCACAGTGTACACAAGTCACACAAACACACGCCACTCACTGCACACAAACTTCACAGCGTGCACACCTCAGACACACCACACAACACACACTCCACAGTGCACACACTTCACACAGAAACACATTACACACAAGCATATTCAACAGTTCACACATCTCACACACACTCCAGAGTGCACACACCTCACACACACACCACTCACCACTCACCTCCACAGTGCCCGCACTTCACAGACACATTCACCACACACACAATCCAGTTTACACCCCTCAGGTGCACACCATGCACCACACACCCTACACACACACCCAACAGTACACACATCTCAGACACAAACCACAAACCACACACATTCTACAATGCACACACCTCACTCAGACACCACTCAACACACACTCCACACACACACCCAACAGTACACAAATCTCAGACACAAACCACACACACTCTACGGTGCACACACCTCACTCAGACACAGAACACTCAACACACACACTCCACAGTGCACCTGCCTCACATAGACACACACCACTCAACACACACTCATACTCCACAGTGCGCACACCTCACACACACATACACCACTCACCATACACTTTGCAGCTCACATGCCTGACACAAAAACACACAACGCACCACACACATTCAAACACACTCCACAATACACATTGCTCACACAGACACACAAAACACCACACACACTCACCACAGTGCACAAACCTCACAAAGCCAGACACCACGCACCACACACACACTCCACAGTGCACACAGCTGAAACTGACACACATCACGCACCACACACACACTTCACAGGGCACACACCTCACACAGACACACACCACTCACCACACAAACTCACTCTGCAGTGCAAGCACCTCAGAGACACACTTGTCACCACACACACACTCCACAGTGCACATACCTCACACAGAAAAACACCATGCACCACACACACACACTTCACACACTCAACAATACACACCCCCAAACAGACACACCACACTCATCACACACACACCACAGTGCATAACTCACACACATGATACAACACACACCCTCCAGACACACTCCATAATGCACACACCTCACAAGGAGACACCACTCAACACACACACACTCCAAAGTGCACACACCTGAAACTGGCACACATCACTCATCACACACACACTCCACAGGGCA